CCTGGCCACCCTGGCATACTGAGAGGCTCAGGGCACCAGACCCTTTACTACAGAAGGAAGGTTGGGGCGCACTGAGTGGTGTGGCACCCAAGGACCTATCCTACAGAACCAGACTTGGGGCGCACTTAGTGGCTCGGCATGTTACCCTTTTTCCCAGATATATTGACGAATTTTCTTACTCGTTTTCTAACCCAATTCACCTAGAATCGAATGGTTTCTTCCCCAATCACTTAGATTCGAATACCTAACATAAGTATACAAGAATCTACTCAAAAACAACCTTAAAACTCATACGATTATCTCAAGAACTCATCAAAATCTCAACATTCAAGATTATGAAAGAAACTTCAATAAAACTCATCCAGAACTCAAATCCTTTCCTTTCAAGAACGAAATTACGTTGAACTAGTCATGATCGGCGCATGGGTGAATGAACCCAATGCTATGTAAGCTCACATACCTTTTAGGATCAAACCCTTGGCGAAATCCGCAGCAAAATCCTCAAGAACTTGATGAACGGTTGACTTTTCTCCTTTTCTCCTCTTCTTGAACTTCTCTCAAAACCATAGCGTATTTTTGGATTTGTAAAACTGAACCAAATCAGTTTAGACCCCTAAATATTACCAAAATTCGTTTTAATCTGATTGGATAAGGAAATGAGTAAAATACCCCTCTTAAATCTGGGTAACTTTCCTTAACTGGACAGCTCGACCTCAAACGGGGATATATCTCTCATACGAGCTCAAAAATTAACAAACTCGGTGGCGTTGGAAAGAGGATTTCCGGACCTTTCATTTGATATCTTATGGGCCACCTAAATCACCATGTACTGAAATTTATGGTCGTTTAAAGTTGACCCAAAACTCATATTTAGCATAACTAGCTTGCCAAAATTTCCAATTTTACTCTTTCCAAAATAGTTCTTTCTAATTATAGTTCTTTCAAATACCTAGATGTTAAAATATCTCCCCCTTGGGAACATTCGTCCTCGTATGAGATTACTTGAAGTATACTAAGGGTGTAACATCTAACATTCAGCTCAAACACCCAACAAGTAATATATATCACAACATGTCAACTTCAAATAAATGCTAAGAAAAGGATTAGTACCTTAATTTGGAATTTCTCCAGACTCAAAGAGATGTGGGTATCTCTTCTTCATATCCTCCTCAACTTCCCAAGTAGCCTCTTCAACAAACTAATTCCTCCATAAGACCTTGACTGATGTTACTTCCTTGGTTCTCAACCTGAAGATTTTCAAAATAATGCAATTGACATATTTCAAATGGTTAAATCTCCACCTGATTATGAATGCATGTTCATTAGAATTATTTTTTATCATAACTTCCTCTAATCTCATTCTAAAGATGTAGCTGGGTGATTTCCATTTATATCATTTTACTCGAACTGAAAGACAAGGTAAATGGCTTGAACATTCAAAGGTAAAAGATCATCTTCAAAAATAAAAAATCAATGGATTTCTTTTTAAAATAACAAGTACTACATAGTCTTTCAATGTTACCTTAACTTGTATAATAAATAAAAGTAAGAGTCATTTTCTTTGAATTCATAGGCTTGGGAAGATAATCAAATGTTTAGTTGGTCACTTTACTGATTAGACACTTAAAAGAATTACACATTGTATAATCTAAGAATTTTACGAGAGTGGTTAGTTGAAGGAATATGAAAGTCAAGTAATTTAGAGAATCTACATCTCTTAAGTCCTCAAAGAAGAGGGCGTCTATCGTTACTAAAATCCTCTCTGAAAACAGAGAAACATTAAATATAATTCTATATCGGATAGAATTTACCAGCCAATTTTAACTTTGATATTCATAGAAAGAAACTTAAGTAATCAATTTGCATAAGCTGTTGTTGAAGTAATAGAAATGCACTAAACGAGGTGAATCTTAGAAAATGACGGACCTCACACAGTGTACTAGGTCCAAGTAAATGCTCTTTTTGACTGCCACTTTCCATATCACGTGGTTTATAGTTAAGGGGTTAAAAACAACTGTCCACAACACCCCATAATTTAAGTGTTAAACTGGAAAATGTGAATAGTTTAGGGAGTTTGTAGGTATTAACTCAAAAGAAAATCTCACTTAGATTAATTTTTTGTCATTTATCAAAAAAACAGGTAGGATAGCAAGAAACAAAAAATGTTAAAGATTGTTGACCAGAATCAATTTACAGGTGGATGACATTTTTATTTCCATTTGACCAAGATTTCGTATACGATTCTCAGTCCTCATCAAAGAACTAACATCCCACAAATTTCGCCCAATACTTTTAGCGCACACTGAAGTGAATAAATAATCTAAAGGTATGTCCCAAATCTCTCCATGTCTTATCTTCTTCTTACATTCTCTAAGGTTGTTTTTCTGATTAATTCTTTACTCATGTCGGATCTTGATTCCAAAAGTTGTTGTGGATGTTAAAGGAATTCGGTGTACACCATGTGGAATTATTTTCTCCTTTTTGTGACTATTTGATTTTTTCCCAAATAGATTTGAATTCAAGGTTCTCTAAATTTGTATATGTTTGTTTCCCGCATTTCAACAATTAGTAATTTAGTGTGTTATGATAAAATGTGTGTTTTCTTATTATTAACATTTAACTCCTTGTAAAGGTTGGTTTTGATTTACTGAATTTTCATTTTGTTTGAATAACGATTCAATTTGAGTCCTGCAATCAAGAATGTAGCTTATTTTGATGTTTTCACAGAATTATCATCGTTATCCATAAAAAACTGTAACATCATTTTTGACCTGCATAGGTTTAATACAAATGGTTTGGTTTCTCCGTCTTTTCTTTTCTCAAAAAGATTTGGATTTTGAGGCATCTAATATATAATATCCATAGATAGAGGATTAGTAGTTTATATGACAGAAAAGATTAATGTAGGCTTCTTATCAGTTGCTAAAACTCTAATTTAGTTCCATCTCTATGGAAACCAGTCGGCAACTAGGACTTTAGAGGCAAACATCACTTATGCATCATTTGTTTGCACTTAATGGAGGTCTTAATCTAAATTGTTCAGATTCAGACAATTAAGTGCATTTGTTTGTAAGATTGAATCTTAATCATTCAGATTCAACCCATTTAGTGCATTTGTTTTTGTTTTGTTTAAAACCACTTAATGGATCTTATTAGGTTTGAATGAATCAGATCTGTAACAGAGTCTTAATATTATTAAGACTATTTAAAAATAACACTCTTTATTTCAGAAAACCTTCCATGCCTCTTGCTTCTCTTCTGCGCCATGTTTTCACTCTTTTCCCCCTACTTGCTCAAGCAGATACCAATCATTTTATTCTTGAATTGGTAAGTTTTCATTATCTTTACCATTATTTTTTTCTGGTATTTCTGATATTCAAAATATAGTCGGGTGTATTGAAGTTTAACAAGAACTCTTATTACCACAAATATTTTTGTCTAGCATTATCAACTGTGCGTAGACTCCAAGACATCTTGGCATCTCTTCATCTTAGTGGCATCACCAACTTACATTTTAAAAAAACATAGGAACATGTTCCATTGATCATATGCTCATGGGTAGTGAATAAACAGGTGGTTGACTATCTCCTGAGATATCTTGCAAAATAGCATCCGTTGAGCAACTGCAATCCTTGCCTATTCATGTTATCTAGAGTAATGCAAGCATTGTCTAGGTAGATTGATCTTCTATACTAACTTTTGTGTCCATCTAACAGGTACTTGACATTGTGAGCATAGTTATATATGACATTCTTTCACTGTGAATTGTACCCTTGCTTCCCCATCATAGCCTATCTAGTTCACTTTCATCAATACCCTGAGCTTCCACCTTTGCTAACATTTCCATTTAACTTCCGTTACATAAAAAGAAAAATCCTAGGTATTCCCTTTAGTCCAACTCTCAATGGTTTATGAAATAATTATCCTCAAGCATCACAATAACTTCTCTCCTCTCAAGTCACCGCATTTTGCTTGGGTTCAATTAAATTGCAATCTTTAGCTTGAATCAAGACCGAATGAATTATAGAAATTCATGGGGCTTCAGACCAGGTCTATTAGTTCCCGTTGACTAATTTAAAAATGTAATTTTCTGCACATATTTATATATTTATAGGTTTATATACAATTCTTGTGGTAAAGATACATTTACTTTAAGGTCCTCTTTTGTTTTTTTTATGTTTTAAGAAAATCAGAAAGGGCTTCCGGTACACTGGCTAGAACTATGCTTGAAATTGTGTTATAAAATGTAAGTGAAAGAAAAAGAGGAAGCTAAGATTATATTTTTTCTGTTGAGGTAAAAAACTTCACTAAATGTATCAAGAAGATGCAAAAGAGAAGTACATTTGAGCTGAGAAATTAATGTAAAGAAAGTTAAGAGAAAAACGTAACGAATTCTTAGAATTAAATTTCCTTACTTAATTGGAAGGTAATTGAAAAATATATGAAAATTAGGTTGGAGGAATATACCGTATAGGATATTACTAATTTTACTTTGATGAGAAACCGTTGAGATTGCTGGCCAAGTTAAGTTAGAGACGGTTTTAGTAGAAGTGATTGTCCTCCTTGTTAGCGTAGAATAATGACACTAGGTTTATAAGGAAAGTAACGCGAGTTCCAATATTTTCTTTGATTTTTCATGATTTTGCTCTCAATACTGATTATTTTTATCAAATATCTTATACTTTCGTCAACTATGCCAGCAAGAACTTAGTTCTCTGTCGTTATCTACAACCAACTTAAGTTCCAGGTTATATTTTCTTAGTTTCTTCACTTTTGGGCATCACAGTACTCCTCGGAAATATTTGTACTCTCTTTTTCTATGTTTTTTTATATTGACAGGTTTAACATCTTATTCTTCATGGTCTGAGTTTATTAACAAGGATACAAATGACAATAAGCAACATCAATTTAATGTAAGGAGTTCAATTATTCTTCTTGGATCTAGAGAAGTAATAACCTTTCTTGGCTCTACCAGAACTTAAGAGATTGAAGCTTTAATGATGTCGTTTCCAAAACAAGAAGAGATTGAAGTTGTTGTGATGGAAGAAGGAACTTCTCCTGTAAGGATATGGGAGGACCTTAATATTGATATGCTGGTGAAGATATTCCAATCCTTTGACCTTTTCCAGTTGATCTCTGTCATTCCTCAAGTTTGTCATGCATGGCAATCGGCTTGTTCTGACCAACATCTTTGGAAAACGCTGGACTTGTCAATAATGAAGTCAAATTTCATCAGAGTTTCAATACCGCCGTATATATATGTTGACACTCCATCTCGTGAAAAATTGAACCGCATCCTAAAGATTTGCTTGATCCTTAGTCATGGAAACAAACTGACATTGATCTTCCATTACAATTTGTATGTTGACAATAATCAGTTGACTTATTCTGCCAAGAGGTATTCTCCGAATAAACTTTAATCTTTCTATAGTATTGTACCTTAAATCAAGAAACTATATAGCAAGCATTGTTTCAGAGTTCAGGCATCTGAGATAATTTGGACAGTTAATTAAAACTCCTCTTTTTCAGGTGTCCACGGCTTAAATGCCTATTATGCCTGTTTGGGAAAAACTAGAAAATAAAACGTTATGCAACGCTTTTCATGAATGGAAAGATCTTGAATCACTGACGATGCCTAGTTTAGAAGAACCTACATATGTCATCGAGAAAATTGGAACGAGTTGCAAAAGAATTTTTGAGCTCAAAATTATGACTCCCTGTGATATATTGTTTGCATCTGCACTGGTCTCATTTCTTCCGAACTTGAAAGTGTTGAGTGTGAGGTGTACGGAGTTATCCAAACATGCTTTGGTTATTCTCTTGGATGGGTTAAAAAAGTTGAAAGTGCTCAACATATCGCACTGCATAATTACTGAATACCTTTCTCCACCCGCACCGATGAAAATTTTGACCGAGCTTGATGAATGCATTATCAAAAAAGTGCATAGGTTAGACATATTCCTAACCTACATGAGTGACTCGTGCATCATGTGTCAGCGCACTCGAAATGATGAAGGGTTCGTGAGGTGGAATAAGTATGCAGACCTCTGGAAAGTGGATGAAGTGAAGTCACTAGAAATTTGAGAACTTTTATGAATATTTTTCTTCATTATTTGTAGGTTCAGTGTATAATGTGTAAACTTGTGTTTATGAAACACAATAAAACCTTGTAATGCTACTTCTGTGTTGTAAGTCTATTTTCTTTGACTGAGTGGTTTTCATGTTCTTCGTGTTTCTATGATCTTTTATGATTTTTGTTTCTCCGTTTCCGTAGCACACCATGTGTTCGTTATCTATTTGTGTATGTATGTATTGTCAAGATAAGTCAATTTTAGAAATTTGACCAAACATATTATTATTCTTTTCTATCATTTTGCGAGTTTCGTACATAAACTCCTTGGATGAAGATGATATGTTATGTAAGCATCGCACTTAAAAAACTTTTGTAAAGAGTTTCAAGTGACATTATATGTGAAACTTTTAATTTTTACTTTTGAGTAAATTAGATTAAAATAATCCCCAAATTATTGCCGTTGCGCTAATTTCAAACCCAAATGATAAAATGTTCACGAAACCCCATGAACAATCATCAATTCATTGGGTAAGGTGGACTCATTTTAAGATTTTTTGTTTTCTTTTGCTACGCGTTTCGCATCAAATTATTTCAATACTTTAGTACACATTCAACTAGGGGGCTTTCTATTTAAAGAGAATTATAGCCCATGAGGTAATAAAAATATTTAATAATTTAATTATGAAACTATAAGACAATAGTAATAATTGAGATTTTTAAAAATCTATTCGGTCTATTTACTATGTTATTGTAACACCCGAGAAGTCTAAAATCCATGTTAGATCTAGAAATTTCATAAATTAAGTCTGCATGAAATTATGGGATCTACGAGCAGCATCTATGGGTTGTTGATGGAACTTCGGACCGTAGATAGTGCTTGTAGAATTAACTTCAGAAGCAGGATGATTAGCTTAAGTTTAAATGAGGCAAGTTTATGGATTGTAAATGTCACGCCACGAGCCTACACCCTAGACACGACTGGCACTTGAGAACCTTTGCTGGCCCCAAGCGAACCCTTGGCCTGGCTTACATCTTAGCGGAAGACTTACTCAACATAGAATAAACTCAAACGAAAGATTTAACTCAGATAACTACACATAATATTTAAAGAAAACATTCACTAGCCAAACTGGCAACTCAAGTGTCATACATCAATAACTGAACTGAACCAGACTAATAAATTATAACTGTCTATCTATGAAGCCTCTAATACTATGATGGATGTCGAGCCAAGACCCTCGATCATCCTAACAAACTAAAATGACAAAACATTATAAAATCGATACTCCAGAAAGCAATAAGGCTCACCAAATGACTTTGGAACTCGACTGGATGAATGAAGCGCTGGATGTTGATCCTGGTTACATGTTTTTGCATCATCAAAGATGCTGACCAAATAGCATCAGTACATGAATGTACGAGCATGTGAGGGAAATCTAAAACAAGACATAAGCTTGAATTGGAATTAAAATAAACACTTACCTCGTCTCAAGTTTACTCAACTCATTTCAATATAAAGCAGTAAATAAAGATGTAGTATAAAGAAAAGCTTTAAACAGTAGATAACAACTCAATGTATTAGAAAATACAATATAAACTTTGTTTGTATAGATAATGATACAAAATAAGTTTGTGGGAGTTTATCTAACCGACAGCCATCACTATGAGTTATGTGATGATATAGCGTCTATCCCATGCTGCCAGAACTGCCATATACTTTGCCGAGGTATGGAACCTACTACTAAGTGGATCCATTAGTCTATGCTAAAAATCATTAAGGAACCATCTAAAAAGTAGGACCCTTTCTACCCACGTTGTCTACATGGTTTATGGAGACTTTGAGTTATCTGAACTCGTCCCCATATTAGTGCTCAATACTACTCCCAAAATGTAACTAGCTCATATGTTTAAAAACATAACTTTTTCTGTGGTTTGAGATTATTACACAAAAATAATTCTCTTAAAAGAGATGGTACTAAAACTGCTCATGACCATATACTTTGCCGAGGTATGGAACCTACTACTAAGTGGATCCATTAGTCTATGCTAAAAATCATTAAGGAACCATCTAAAAGTAGGACCCTTTCTACCCACGTTGTCTACATGGTTTATGGAGACTTTGAGTTATCTGAACTCGTCCCCATATTAGTGCTCAATACTACTCCCAAAATGTAACTAGCTCATATGTTTAAAAACATAACTTTTTCTGTGGTTTGAGATTATTACACAAAAATAATTCTCTTAAAAGAGATGGTACTAAAACTGCTCATGAAAACTCTTTTGGAAATCAGTGTTTCCTCTCATCTTAAATGTAAAAACATTTACTCTTGGGAATACTTAGTTCCCAAATATCATTTTTTTTAAAATGAACTCGGATCTACTCTTCCTCAAATTCAATGCTTAAGTCTTAAAACAAGTTTGAAACAACTGTAAAAGACTTTTGAAAAGACTCGAAGAACTCTCAAGACTTGACTCTTAGCACAACCTTAAAAATGAATTATGGATTCAAGGGCTATGATCTGATATTATGGATGATCTCTTGCTTTTTATATGTACCTTAGAGTGTAGAAATAAACTAGAAAATAAAGGTACGATTCGATGGAACTCAAACGGAAAGAAGTGAGAAAGGGTAGAGGACCTGGTGTACTGAATGGCGTAGGGCCCCAGACCCGAAACTATATAAGGGAAGGTTGGGGCGCACTGAGTTGCACGGCGTCCCAGGACCCATCTTACATAACCAGACTTGGGGCATATCGAGTGGCGCGGAGCTCCACCCCTTTTCCCAGAAATTTTGATGAACTTTCTTACTCGTTTTCTAACCCCAATTCACCTAGAATCGAATTGTTTCTCCCCAATCACTTATATTCCAATACCCAACATAAGTATACAAGAATCTACTCAAAAACAACCTTAAAACTCATACGATTATCTCAAGAACTCATCAAAACCTCAACATTAAAGATTATGAAAGAAGCTTCAATAAAACTCATCAAGAACTCAAATCCTTTGCTTTCAATAACAAAAGTACGCTAAACTAAACGTGATTGGCGCGTGGGTGAACGAACCCAACGCTATGTGAACTCACATACCTCTTAGGGATCAAACCTTTGGCGAAATCCACAACAAAATGCTCAAGAACTTGATGAACGCTTGACTTTCTCCTTTTCTCTTCTTCTTTAACTTCTCTCAACACCCTAGTGTATTTTTGGATTTGTAAATCTGAACCATATCAGTTTAGACCCATAAATATTACCAAATTTCATTTTAATCTGATTGGGTAAGGAAAACACAAAAATACCCCTCTTAAATCCAAGTAACTTTCTTTAACTGGACAGCCCAACTTCAAACGGGTATATCTTTCTCATACAAGCTAAAAAATTAGCAAACTTGGTGGCATTGGAAAGAGGATTCCTAGAAATTTCATTTGATATCTTATGGGCCACCTAAATCATCATGTACTAAAACTTATGGTCGTTTGAAGTTGACCCAAAACACATATTTAGCATAACTTGCCAAAATTTCCAATTTTATTCTTTCTAAAATAGTTCTTTCTAATTTTAGTTCTTTCAAATACCTGGGTGTTAAAATATTTCTTCCTTGGGAACATTCGTCCTTGTATGAGATTACTCTAAGTGGACTAAGGGCGTAACATCTAACATTCAGCTCAAACATCCAACAAGTAATATATAACAAAAACATGTCAACTTAAAATAAATGCTAAGCAAAGGATTAGTACCTTAATTTGGAATTTCTCCAGACTCGAAGAGATGTGGGTACCCCTTCTTCATATCCTCCTCAGCCTTTCAAGTAGCCTCCTCAACAAACTGATTCCTCCATATGACCTTGACTGATGCTACTTCCCTGGTTCTCAACCTGAAGATTTTCAAAATAATGCAATTTACATATTTCAAACGGCTAAATCTCTTCCTGATTATGAATACATATTTATTAGAATTACTTTTATCACAACTTCCTCTAATCTCATTCTAAAGATGTAGCTGATTGATTTACATTTATATCATTTTTACTCGTATCTGAAAGACAAGGTAAATGGCTTAAACATGCAAAGGTAAAAGATCATCTTCAAAAATAAAAAATTAATGGATTTCCTTAAAAAATAACAAGTACTACATAAACTTTCAATGTTACTTTAGTTTGTATAATAAATAACAGTAACAGTCTCGTTTTCTTTGAATTCATAGGCTTGCGAACATTATCAAATGTTTAGTGAGTCACTTTACTGATTAGACTCTTAAAAGGATTACAGATTGTATAATCTGAGAATTTGACAAGAGTGATTAGTTGAAGGAATAAGAAAGTCAAGTAATTTAGAGCATCTACATCTCT